GAAATTTCTTAATACTATAAACTAACCTTTAAAAAATAAAAATTAAATATAATAATTTATTTCATATGATAAACAAAAAGGTCATCCTTTCGATACAGTTAAAGTTCGACTTCAAACTAGTAGTAATAAATATCGAAATGGTATTGATTGTTTTAAAATTATAGTAAAAGATGAGACTGTAAGTATATATATATATATGATAGATAAATAGTGGTTTTCACAATTATTTTCAAAATATCTTATTATCAAATTTCATATTATTTGCAGTTTCTCGGAGTTTACAAAGGAGCTACCTCTCCTCTGATGGGAATTGGAATTTGGTTAGTATTTTCATTCGTGATCCATTGGTTTTTACTGTACATGAATAAATGATAAATTATTAACAGAACCTTTTCTTTTTAATATTAGTAACGCGGTTTTATTTAGTACATTTTCTAATTTTCAACGATTAGTTCAAGGCGATAATTCACGAGCTCCCACATTAAGTAATTATATTTAATAATAATAATAATAATAATAACGTGGAAAACGATTTTACTAATACTCTTACAATTAAATATTGTTCATTACAACTACACTAAAAAAACAAAAAGAAAAAAGATAAAGTGAAACGGTACTGAACTAATAATCTCTTAATATATAAATTTAATAATAAAAAAATTAAAGTATTGCTTTTAAGATTAGATCTCTGAAAAGGCTTTGTTTAAAATTAGTGTCCATTTTTAATGATTTTCAATCTTGTTTGGTAAATAAAGATTACGATAACAAGTAAATAAAAAAGAGATTATGTACTGTTACATGCTAGATAATAATTTGAATGGGTATGACAAAATAAATATGTAAGGTCTTATAATAAAATTTTATGTTGATTTACTTTATTAGATAAAATAAAAAAAAGCAATATTTTTTTAGTTAAAACTTTTAATAAAGAAAAATTATATAGAGCTATTTTCAATTAATTTTATAATTTTAATTGATTGTCAATTGTATATAAAAATACTGTATGACCAAAATTAATTATCAAATCATTTTTCGGTAGGTTTGCTTCTAGATTTTAGTTTCGGAATTTAAAATTTGCAGTCCGCAAGCTCCGCAACAAATTTCAGACACTGGTTACAACTTCACTAGCCAGAGCCGGCATGTAACCCAGATATAAAAAGTACACTAAAAAATTGTCGTATGGTTCAAGTAGTCTATACTCAACGGTTACACGAATTGTTTCAATTTTTCAAATCATTATAACTTTTTATAAAAAAAGTTTTTAAAAAAATCAGACCGATAAGTTTATATACATATGTGCCAAATATTTTTTTTTAAAAACTAATCATTGTAAAAAAGTTTTAGCAACTTGAAAATTAAAATTTATATATAAATTTATATAAGGCTATACAAACTGGTATTTTTGGTTCTCATAACATAAAATTTTAGAAGATGACCCGGCAACCTGGCTTTTAATTTTATTTTCAAAAAATTTATATATAAAGAACTTATGAAATTTTTTTACATATTTTTTAAAAAAAACCAACCCGGATAGTAAATATAGTTGAAATTTTTCTTCAAATATTTGCAAATTTTAACCCGGCCGGGTTATGAGAACCAAAAATACTAGTTTGTATAGCCTAAATCTATATATAAATTTTAATTTTCAAATTGCTAAAACTTTTTTACAGTGATGAGTTTTTAAAAATATATATATTTGGCACATATGTAGAGCTGATATAGCTCTATAAACTTATCGTCTGATTTTTTTAAAAAACTTCTTGTATAAAAAGTTATAATTTGAGTATAGACCCATAGATAAGATATCATATCAATTATCTAGTAATTGCATCATCTTGCATTACGTTAAATTATTAAAGTAACGGTAATAGATAAGTTAATATATGTTTTTGGGATCTACTAAAATGCACCATAGCAGATAGATAGTTACCAGTAAATATGCATAGTAATAAACATATATGCATGCAAGTGTGCAGTATATTAAAGAAATCAAAGATTTTACGTTTTATGGTAAATGTCTTTACAAATAAAGTAATAAAACTATTTCATTTAAAAATCTATCATTTTTAAATCATATTTTTATATTACTGATACCACATGGGGCGATTAATCTTATTATGTGACAAATAAGGATTTATTAATTAATTATATTATCGTTATTGAATTATTCATTATTCGTCACGCAAATGATTCATAAAATTGCAATTAATGACTCATTGTGGCTGCGCCATCAATCAATTAATTGAGTTGCAATTAAATTTTTAATTATTCGATAGGCATGCCGCATATAAAATGTTTTAAAATTGTGTATATATTTTGGTTATACCATTCATATATGCACAAGTTTGGGCCTGCTAAAATTGAATTTCAGACACTGGTTGTAACCTTCACTTATGATTGTACTGTACTTCATCAATCTCTTTCTTGGCTTTTACCAAATAAATAAATAAATAAAATAAGAACAATTTGGTATTAACGTGTGGGCGAAAGTTGAAAATTTGGCGAATATTGTGTACATTTATGTGTGACTAATTCAATTATAGCTCTTTAAATTAAAATATTCTTAACCTTTGACGAAGATATCTTGATCACTTACATGCCTTTTTTATTCTAATCCTACAGACTCAGAATTAAAATATTTTCATCGCTCAAAATTTTTTTTTTTTAAAAAAAAAACTTTCAAATTAAGAAAGAGTTACTTCTGATTTTTTTAGACCTTTAAACGAAGATAACTCGATTAGTGCTTGGATCCGTGGATATGTTTTAGTTAGTTTCGGATGATCAAATTTAATGAATTTTTTATCGAGATGTCTTTTTGTAAAAGTTTTTAAAGCAAAGCTAAATTTTTTAAAAAATTTCATATTGCAGAATGTACAAATTACTTTCTTATTATTATTATTATTATTATTATTATTAAACACTGATTAAAGACAATTTTATCTCTAAAGTTGATATTCTATTAGATCAAATGTCGGATTGATTTCCAATTTGACTAATACTAAACCTTTTAACCAGTCTGGTCAAGCTTGATCCAATTTGGTTATAAATAACCAATTAAATCCATTCGGATCGGAAACAATTTCAACTGGGTTCGGAAATTTTGGATTGCACGATAATATTCGGTGTGCTGCCTTAACGTTAATAAAAAAAATTTAAAATCACATGCATGTATAAACAGTATATATTTAAAAATCAGTACGTTATAGTTAATCAATTACAAATTGATTACGAATATTGATTTAGAAATCACACATTCTCACCCCTTCCGCGAGATGAATTTATCTGAATAGATTATCATTTTTTATATAAAAGAGTCCCTCCGTAATAAAGTGCTCCAAATTTGTAAAAATTTGACAACATACTTGTTTAACATTACTTGACTATCTTCATCTTTTTGATATTAAATTTTATACTAAATTTTTACATTAATTATCCGAGGTTCGATTTTTGGATATAAACATGTAACGGTAATTACAGATCATCCTATTTTTAAAAAAAACCGACCGGATAAGTTTTAAAATTATCAGCCAATAACTATATATTTTGCTTTATCTCCGGTGAATTATAAACTTTATAGTTGAATTATAAATTCACTATAAAATTTACTATAAATTATAATCTCTAAAAAATCATCGTGCGTTATTTTTTTTATGTCACACTAGATAATATTTTGACGATTATTACCACTTAAAGTTTGCAATTAAGCGTTATCGTTATGATACATGCTAAATTTTTTTGGATTATGGCGTTTGTTTTGATTTTACATTATATTTGCCTTGTGTTCATTTTTCAACGTCATTTACTGACAATCTAGGGAGAATTCGTAGGAGATAACTATAAAAAGGGTTCTATATTAGAGGAGATCAGTAAATATAATATTACTTGCACTTATTTAGTAATTTGGAAATTCTATTCGTTTGAACTTTATGTTTTACTATTACAGTATTTGAAAATGATTTGTAAAACATAATACATCGTAAATCCTAATTCACCATGTACATCAGAATAAAAAAAGATATTCGATTATGATAAGCAGAAAAAGTATCTTTGATATGGTATAAAAATATTCGACAAAAAAATAAAAAATTTGACTTTATTAATCGTGTTACACTATCTCTAAGTTTGTAATGATATTGCACAATCGGCCTTCGGAGCCGGATTAACGGCGATCCTTTTTTGAACCACATATTCTGGTAAACAGTAAATTGGATCAACTAGTTTTAAGCCAGGATATCCTAATAAAGATAACCCTATAAAACGTACATGAAAATAAATTTATATATACAATAATTTATTTAAATTTCAAAGATAAAAGCGTTGTACCTGCGATTCCAAAATGAGTATGAAATACATCCACCATATCGCCAGGTCGATCTGCGATTCCACCAGATTCAAGATCCTTTATAATATTTTTTGATCATACTATAATAAGTAAAACTTTAATGAAAACATTTAATCATAAAATAGTGTAAAAAAAAAAAAAAAATTACCTG